CCTGTGCCAAAGCAAGTGTGAAGAGCCACTGTCTGGGCATGAAAACCAGTGTGGCAGAATAGGGAGCTGGGTGAACAGAGGGTAGGAAGGCTGCCAGGGATGAGCTGGCTGCCTTGCCTACAAATTTGGCTTTTGCGGTCATTATGGGATAGAGCTTTTTAAGCTTTAGAATCTATTGGTTCTGAGATTTTCCTTATTCATTTTGTCTATGGTAAGTGCTAAAAGAGTCAGAGAATTTCCTGTACCACTTATGGTAGTGATAGTAATTTATTATTAACTCCCAAAATTCACAAAGAAGAATTAAGATAGTAAATTTAGGGGGACAGGACAAAAATGTGGAATTCACTGCAGCGGCAGCAGCCACTGTTTTTAAGTGCTTACGTTTATTCATTGTTACCAGCTATTTCTTGATTGCCTGTTATACCTAAGACTCCTGCCTGTCATGAACTCACAGTTGACTATAACAAACATACACACATCACACAAGAGACTGAAAATACAGTGTCCTTGGGATACAGTGGGGAATGAGGGCACCTGGGAGCTCTTTAACTGTATTCTCTCCTGGAGATGTCAGAGAAGTGGATAGTGAAGACCTTTGAAGCTATATAGAACTGAGAGGGCCCTGTGAGGTGAGGTGGAGGGCCGAGAGAGGGCCCCGTGAGCTGATCCGAGGCTGAGATCAGTGTCCTGTGAGGCGAGGTGCTGTAGGGCCGAAAGGATGTGTGATTGGAGGTATGAGAGGTGATCCAAATCCTGGAAGTTTCCCACTAGCCCCAGCCACACTGAGATGAGAGTGGTGGGTCTGACCGAGTGACGAGGTGAATACCTTCCTAACAGTCCTAGGGTAAAGGAACGCAGGCCTCTCTGATGTCCCCTGCTCTACAAAGCCTTTCCTTTTCCTTGTGTCTTCTTCCAAGTCAAATATGACTTCCTCCTTTCCAGTGAGGAGTATCCCACCAGAAATTTCTTCTGGTGCCATCTGAGGACACTTGGATCCATTCCGTGGGAAGCCTGGCTCCCTGTACTAGGCAGTGACATTCTGGTGCCAAGAATTGCATCTTGGTGTGGAGAGCATGTAGGTCTGTCTGTGGGTGCTAGATGTGCTCCATGAGTATTTGTTGACTATTAAAGAGCTTCAAAGGGTCTCTGTGTCCATGTCTCCTCCTTTCCTGAGGAACTTGAAAAGAACCAGAGTAATCATGTCCTTAAGCCACCCAAGTTGCAGTGCAGTTCACATTGAGAATTCCACAAGATCTTGACCTGCCTCAGTGCACAAACAGATGTGTGTGTGTGTGTGTGTGTGTGTGTGTGTGTGTGTGTGTGTGTGTGTGTACGTGTACACTAGCCTGGGTGAGTGGTCAGCATGTTGAACACATACCGTCGTCCAGAGCATTAGTGTCCAGAGGTCATTTCTAGGAAGGGTGATGATGTCCATGTACTAAAGTCCCCTGTGACCCATAGTGTGATCTGCACCTACCACTGACTGTTCATGTTCTCAGCTTGTCTTCTGAGGTGTGAACTGGGCTTTGGGGGCTCATGGGGACTGGGCTGATGTCCACCTGTGCTGGGTAAGCTGAGCTAGGCCCAAAAGCTGGCATCTGCTGCTGCGTGTTCTTGTCATCATATCTCAGATTGGTGAAGGTATAAGGTGGCCATGCCCAGTTGCATAGGGTGCTGAGGGGAGAGAGATGACCCCTTTATTGATTGCCAAAGCTTCTGGGCCATGAGCAGAGTGGGACAGGGCATGGTTTGGCATGCCTGTTTTTGCCTTGGAGAGGTCTCAGTATATTGACAAGGAATTTTCAGTACTTTGTTTTGAGAGGTAGAGTGTGTGTTCTTATGTGCGGGTGTATAGGGGTATAGATCAACCTTAGGTGTCTTTCCTTAAATACCATTCATTTTGTTTTACGAAACAAGGTCTCTTCACTGGCCTGGGGTTCACAATTCAGACAGGAGCACGCCACTACAGCTGACTTCCTTTCATGGGATTTGGGGACTGAACCCAGACCTTCATGCTTACACAGCTTGCACTTTGCCAGCTGAGCCATCCCCCAGCCTCAAGAATTTTACTGTTACAAAAAACAAACAAACAAACAAAACACAAACACAAGCTGGGTGGTGGTGGTGTGCATCTTTAATCCCAGCACTCAGGAGGCCGAGGCAGGTGGATCTCTGAGTTCGAGGCCAGCTTGGTCTACAGAGTGAGATCCAGGACAGCTACGGCTACACAGAGAAACCCTGTCTTGGAAAAACAAAACAAAACATAGCCTTCCTTGGGTGCTGGCTTTCCCTGAAAGGCAAGGTTGTCTTCCTTCCAGTTGGAGAAAGCTAGATGTAATAATTGTGGGTCAGTGCTAGATGCACTTTCTCAGAACCTTACTTTATCAGGAAACCTGCTGGGAGGAACACGGTGTGGGAGAGGGGCACGTCTGCATGGTTGGTTTCTGTGCAGAACATCTTGTGATGTGTCTCTGCACAGACGGAGGAACGCAGACCTCCCTGCCCTCTCTATTGTGTCCCAGCTCATGGCAGTTGCTGGAGAAGACTGTGCTGCTGAAAACCCAGTTTTGCCCTCTCACCCCGCCCCCACTTCACTGCTTGTGAGCCCTTGCCTCACAAGCCACCTGTGAAGGAGGAAGTGCAGCCGGGCTCCAGAGCCCCCATTGCTACTTGGAGAATCTGTGGCTTCCTTTCCTGCCCATAAACAAAAGCAGCCAGCTGAAAGAGGGGGGCATTGCTTATCATGGGATGTTTGCTGCGTCAGAGGAAGGGAAGGAGCTTTTCCAGAACGCTCACTGTGTACGGCATCTCACTGTAAACTACAGAAAATGAATTAACGCAGAGGTGAAGGCATGAAACGGACTAGAAGTGGTAGAACTTCGTAAACTTACCTTCGTATGTTCTGTCAGGGTTTCGTAGTATGTGCACATGGGGGCATTTGAGAACGGAACCCTCCTTAGGGGAAAATTGAAATCTTGATTCTTGAGAAATAGTGATGCTTCAGAGATGCCTCTTTTCTAAATTCTGGAAGATCATATTGTGTTCAGGGGCGACACTTGTCATTTGCAGCACAGTAACGACTCCCACATCGGTCTCCCTGGTGACTGCTCAGTGTGTCGAATGTAGGTAGCATCCCCCTTGCACGTCCTCTGTGACAGAGACCATCACAGACACTGTGTGCTGTTGTTCTGTCACAGTAGCTAGAGCTTGGTGGTCTGTGGGTACTTACCCAGTGGCTGCTGTGATGTGGGCCAGCGAACACTTGATATTACCTAATTATTTAATGTTAGGACATCTTTGATAAATATTTTGGCTTTGGGGGCATTTATATTGTGGTATAATAAGCAGTTTGGCATTATCAAGTAAATTCACATTTATGCAGCCATGGTGTGTGTCTGTGGTTTTCTGTAAGGCTAGAATTCCAAACCTGGTAAGGCAGCTTCCTCATCTCTCCTTCCCTCAACCCATTCTGCTTCTGCTTTGAGCCTACACTACTCCAGGAATCCCACTTAGGAGAAATTATCTCAGTCTTTGTCCCTTTGTGACCCATGGATCTTGCTTAACAGCCCTCAAGATTCATCCATAATGTAGTAGATGTCAGAATTTCCTTCCTCCTTAAGGCTGGATAAAATTCCGTTGTATGAATGGGCCACAGTTTGTTTATTCCCTCATCAGTGGACACTTGGGTTGGTTCTACTGTCCGCCT